TGGCTTAGAAGGGTCTCCTTTCTTGTAAATAAGATACGTGATGCCACTATTCATCCACGTGGGCAGATCTTCTTCTCCTTTTAGTATTTTTGTTAAGATTACCGCTAATGTTTTGGGTGGCACTTATCTTCTTTATTATTATATTATTATTATATTATTATTATTATTATTATTATTATTATTATTATATTATTATTATTATTATTATATTAGTATTATTATTATTATGATTATTATTATTATTATATTATTATTCTTATTATTATTATTATATTTTATTATATTATTATTATTATTATTATTATTATTATATTATTATTATATTATTATTATTATTATATTATTATATTATTATTATTATTATTATTATTATTATTATTATTATTCCGTTTTCTGTTAGCTATTCTCTGCTACTGCAGGTGGTATCCTCAAACGCGGCATTATACTGCAAGCGTCTGAGTGTGACTATTGGTTTCTCTTTGTCTATGTGGCTACATTCAGGACCTTGCGTGCTATATGACAACTACCTAAGATAGCAGCTTTCTGAAGTGAGAGGTATAGTTTCTGCGCGATTTAGTTTCTCAATATTTATGTAGACTCTTAGGTATTTCTCCTGTGGCTCCGATCACTATTGGGATGACTTCAACTTTTTCTTGATTCCACAGTGTTTTTACTTCTGCAGCTAATGGTAAGTACTTGCGAACCTTTTCTGTCTGCTTGTCAGCTATGTTATGTGGGGCAGGCACACTAATGTCAATTATGCAGGTAACTTGCTTCATTTTATCTTGAACTACGATATCTGGTTTGTTGTATTCCATGGTGTGATCTGTTTGAATTGTTCTATTCCAGTATATTTTATGGCTGTTAGTTTCTATAACTGGAGTCGGCTGGTACTTGTAATATGGGGGCGGTCAGTTAGTATATTCGCAGCATAACAAATTTCTTGGTGAACTATTTTAGCCACGTTGTCGTGGCGCTTCAGATACTCAGTGGAAGCTAGGGGAGTGCAGCTCGTCAGGATATGCTCTATTGTTTCCGACTTGTTATGGCATATGCGACATCTATCTTCAATGCCTTCTTCTTTCATGATGTATTTTCTATAGTTTAAGGTTGGTATCACCTGATCTTGAATGCCAATCATGAAACCTTCAGTTTCCGAAAATAGCTCCCCACTCTTCAGCCATCCATGTGACGCTATTATTATTATTATTATATTATTATTATTATTATTATATTATTATTATTATATATTATTATATTATTATTATTATTATTATTATTATATTATTATTATTAGTATTATTATTATATTATTATTATTATTATTATTATTATTATTATTATTATTATTATTATTATATTATTATTATATATATTATTAATTATTATATTATTATTATTATTATTAGTATTATTATTATTATTATTCTTATTATTATTATTATTTATTATTATTATATATTATTATTATAGTATTAATATTATTATTATTATTATTATTATTATTATTATTATTATTATTATTATTATTATTATTATTATTATTATTATATTCTTATTATTATTATTAGTATTATTCTTACTTATTCTTATTATATTATTCTTATTATTGCTTATTATTCGTATTCTTCTTCTTATTATCTTCTTCTTCTTCTTCTTTCTTCTTTCTTCTTCTTTCTTATTCTTATTATTCTTATTCTTCTTCTTATCTTCTTCTCTTCTCTATTCTTCTTCTTCTTCTTCTTCTTCTTATTCTTCTTATTCTTCTTATCTTCTTCTTCGCTTCGTCTTCTTCTTCGTCTCTCTGGCCGTTTCTCCTTCCGGTGTCCGTCCTCGCCCCGGGTGCCTTGTTCTTTCCCGCCGCTTGTCCCTCCTCCGTGTCCCGTACTGCCCTCCCGTTTGTCTGTGCAACTTGTCCTCCCCCTTCCTCCTATCGTTGACCTTTTGTAGATCCGCAACACCACCCGCTCTGTCTACCTGGCGTGACGGCTCTTGACTAACACTAGCTATCAGCGCTGTTCTCCGTCCTGTACACTCGTGACAATACCGTAAGTGTCTTGTGATCTCAAACTCAGTTTTTCAAAAGGTCGTCTATAATTTGATATGAGTAAAATGCCAGTGAACGTTTTTAAACCATTCAGAGAAAGTTCACCTTCAGTTATATCAGTCGTTCCAGCTGAATTGATTATTAAGGCAACAGACGTAATCAGCAATTCGAAAAGTGATTAGTAATAATCTTTATTCACCGAAACAAATAAGTAACGTTTAGTTTTTTTGAATTAATTTCAGAATCATTGAAATTTCTTGTACCGCCGCTTTGACAAATAAATAAAAATATTATAAAAAGTTATTGAAGTAACCGCGTTATCGTTTTGATTTGTGGTCAATTATTTGGAAACTTTTTAGCAGTAAAGTAAATAACAAAGAAATAGTTGTTGCATAAATGAATGTTCAACAGAAAAATCACGAATATTTCAGACGGTGAGCAAACCTATAATGGAAACTAGTCTATGTAAACTCAGTTTGAAGTGAGACGTGTTTTTTTATGTAAAATGTACACATGTTAACTTGAGTTCGAAATTAAACTAATTATCTCTCAAAACACTACCGTAATTTCACACAAAAATAGTCCTGCCCCACAACTATGGTCTCAAAGCAGTATATTTTTAAAACATTTGTAAATCATATTATGGCGACACCTATTATTAAGTAAAGAGACTTCATTTCGCTTTGATGCTTAGTATGATATACATCAAGTACAAGGTGTTTGTTTACCTGCAAACTTTCGATGCTGCAGGTGGTAAGCACTTCGATTTTTTAATTATTTTAGTTTAATAATATGGGGTTGTCCAAAATGGACGCAGGAAAGTAAACGCATATTAAAACAAGAAAGATTGATATTCAAATCAAGTTGGGTACTTTATTTTGAAGGTTCATTTATACCATTTATGTATGAAAAATAATATCGCTCAAATGTTCACCACGACTGGATTTACAGACGTCCACGCGATGGTCGAAATTTTCAATGACATTTTGCAACATGGTCGGTTTTATGGCATTTATCGCGGCAATGATGTTGTTTTTGAGTTCTTGGAGGGTGGCTGGTTTGTTGACGTAGACTTTGCTTTTCAAATATCCCATAAAAAGAAGTCCAAGGGAGTCAAATCGCACGATCTTGGTGGCCATGGCACATTTCCTCTGGGCGGAATCACGCGATCACCGAAGAAGGACTGCAATCGATGGATATTGACGTTGGTTGTGTGGCATGTTGCACCGTCTTGTTGGAAAAAAATAGTCCTCTATCATCACGTGATATCGCTCAGAATTCACGGTAACGGCATCCCCGGCCGCATTTTCGAAAAAGTAAGGTCCGGTGATGCCTTTTGACCACAATGCACACCACACAGTCACTTTTTGAGGATGCATCGGCTGCTCTTGATACTCACGGGGATTTTCGTTCGCCCAGATGCGGCAGTTTTGCTGGTTTACCGTCCCATTCAAAGTGAAATGCGCTTCGCCGCTGAACATGATTTTTGATGAAAAATTGGCATCAATTTGACGGTGTTCAAGGAGCCAATCTGAGAACGTTCGGCGCGAAAAATGGTCGGCCCGACGCAGCTCTAGCGTCAGTTGGATCTTGTAGGCGTGTACATTCAAATCCTTGTGGAGAATGCGGAGCAAAGTGCTTCTCGAAATGCCCAATTCTTGGGATCGACGCGTTGTTGATTGTTTCGGATCGTCTCTCACACTCTCCTTCACAACAGCAATATTTTCCGGTGTGCGAACGCTCCTTGGCCGGCCAGAGCCTGGCAGATTTGCCACAGAACCTCTTGCCTCGAAATTACGCACCAGACGACCGATGGTTGTTTCGTTTGGGCGGTTGTTGCGACCGAAATGTTCATGAAGCGCGCGAAACGTGTTTTTTATTTTTGCACCATTTTTGTAGTGCTCTTGAATAACTTTAATGCGGTCTTCAATCAAATACAACTCCATAGCGATCAATGGTAAACATTCAACTAACAAAATGGCATGTCGGTGACAGAAAACAAAGATGGCGTCTATGTCAAATTGACGTTTACTTTCCTGCGTCCCTATTTATAAGTACTATCTCGATATCCTCGTCAGTCCTGAGAAGCACATGCGTGGACAATCTCCGGCTTTTATGTACGTACGCGTTATTGGGGATCCAAAAATCAGTTTTATTTATTTAGTTTTCAAAATAACATCTAGATAAATCTCAAACAGTTGGTGCAGATATGTGCCAACTAGGACGTAAGTATTATATGGAGGCAATAAAAAAGTACACAAATGGACTCACGAACCCAACAGTAAAAGTGCTACATATAAATAATCTAAGCAAACATTCATTTTCAATTTTGTTGAAAAAATTAACACACATTTTCAACAGGTTATACAAGTAAAAAAATAAAATCCAAATAATTTTAATTATGAAATTCTTTGAAACAATTTCTTTCTTTGCTTACATATAGAAATATACTAAGTGACATATAAATCCGAACACCCAGTTTAAATGGTTTTATTTTAATAAAAGTTGGTGAATGTATTTATCTTACTGTAAATAACAAGTGAAAAAATTTTCAGCCTTATCAGTTGGACATTCCGGTTTTTATACTGCTTTTTTTTAATTCACTAACGCTCTAAAAATGAATGTTTCAGCCGCAGTAAAGAATCAACATTGGCGGATTTTGGTTCTTGACATCCTTTACGATCGGTTACGATGCCTAGAGCAAGGGGCACTGGACGCCGCCGTAAAACAACAGACCGTGAAGATCGCCGCCTAAGATTATTGGCCTTAAGGGACCGTTTCTCCACTACCAGGTCCATTGCATATGAATGGTTTGCAGAACACGGAAGACCTATTGGCATGCGAAGTGTTTACCGACGAATGAGAAGTTTTGGCTTGTTTTCATACCGGCCACACTGGGTCCTCCCTTTAACTCGAGAACACCGACGTAATCGCCTTGAGTGGTGCAGACAACGGTCTCTCTAGGATCAGGAATGGAACAGTATTGTCTTTAGTGACGAGTCTCGATTTTGTTTAGGCATGCACGATGGTCCTGCCAGGGTTAGAAGGCGACGTGGTGAAAGGAGGAATCCACAGTTTTTTGTTGAAAGACATGTTCATTACACTGTTGGAGTTATGGTTTGGGGTGCTATAGCTTATGGTTCCAGGTCACCTTTAATCTTTATCAGAGGTAACATGAACGCGCAGCGTTATATCCACGAAGTTCTAGAACCCCATCTTTTACCCTATCTTGACACCCTGGCAGATCCAACTTTCCAACAAGATAATGCCCGAACTCATGTTGCAAGAGTCACAATAGACTTCTTTCAACATAATGATGTCACATTGTTGCCATGGCCACCAAGATCTCCCGACTTATCCCCAATTGAGCACGTGTGGGATATGATGGGTAGGAGATTGCTCAATTTGCAACGTCCTCCTCAGACTCTAGAAGCACTTCGAGAGGCGTTGGTGGTTGCCTGGAATGAGATACCACAGGTGGACATTGACTACCTGATCAGAAGCATGCCTAGGCGCGTTGGAGAATGCGTAGCACAGCAGGGTGCATCCACACATTAAAAGGTCAAAGGGCTTTAAAGCAGTGCAATCATTTTGAAATTTTTATCATTTACTTATTATGCTTCATTAAGTACTTGTACAAAATTGTGTTAAAATAAAACCATTTAAACTGGGTGTTCGGATTTATATGTCACTTAGTATATATTGCAAACTGTACACCTAATTCGAGATCTGTGAGTACAACCTGCATTTCTACATCGAGGAGCTGAAGGAACATCTAGTGCTTCCGGTAAGTGCAAAGCTCCATGTGTTCGCCGCTCTTGAGTAGGCACAGCTACTGTGCCTGGACGTCCTCTTGGCTTTTTTGAAGGTGGAGCCACGTACTGTACACACTGTACTTACACAGCTTGCACGCTCGTTTCGATTGACCGTGTTCACTTGTTGATGGTATGATTAAAACTGAACAAACTATCGATCCGGCAGAGTTCAAGTTACGCGTTACCGTTTTGAATACTAGACGGCAGCTTTTTGTTTATCAAAAAATATTCTGCTGGCAAATGCGCGTTTGTAAATCACATTTGATTTTTTTACACATACGTTATCACAAGGACCAACCAGGATATGCAACTAGTTACTTGTTGAGTTTCTCGTGTTTTTTCTTTTCGAGCAAAAAAAGATCAAAAAATTACATTTTGATTTCAACTATGGTCCAACCTATTTTTTTGGATCATAGTCATGCTTATGAATGGGTTATATCCAGTTAACCTGTGAAAGGGTATGGACCATAGTTGCAAACAAAATTCTTGTTTATAGACTTTATTACCATGTTTATACCTTTTATTATGACGAACTATTTTGTTTCAGAAAAGTACAAGATACCTCGTAGTACGGTAATACTGAAGCTAAAGGCTCATCGTAATAGCAACGTACATGTTACAGGTCGTAAGTGTTTTTTTCTGCAGAAGAAGAAAAATCATTCGTCGATAACGTTGTTCTACTGTGCGATTATGGATTTCCCCTAACTTTGTTTGATCCGAGGTGTGTTGTGACGACAGCCGTGGTACCACATTAAATGCATTCAAGAACAATTTCCCTGAAAGGCGTTGGGCCGATTGCTTTTTAAAGCGCCATAAAAAGGACTTTCTCAAAGATTCTGCAGCAATATCAAAAGAGTTCGTGCAGCGGTCAATGCAGAAATAATAAATAACTTCTTCGAGCATTTGGCAACTGAAATTAAAGATGTCCCCCCAGACTGTATCTATAATTATGGTGAAACAAACTTGGTCGATGACCCTAGAAAAAAGAGTTCCTTCAAAACGTGGGTGCAAATATTCAGAAGCTAATAAAAACTCGACCAAAGCAGTTGTAAGTCTTATGGTATGTGGAAATGCTGCTGGAGAAGTCTTGCCGCCCTATGTCAATTACAAAGCGGAAAAAATGAGGGACATCTGGACAACAGGTGGTCCCCCAAATTCCCGATATAACCGTTCAAAATCTGGGTGTTTCTACCGACTTTAGAAAAGCAGAACCGAAGGAAAATTCTTATCGGAGACAACTTAAGTTCTCATATAAGTGTAAAGGTCCTAACGGCCTGCGAAGAGAATAATATCGCATTCATTCCTCTTCTTCCTAACTCAACACATCTTACACAGCCGTTGGAATGTTGCATTCTTCAGACCTTTCAAGTGTCATTGGAGGCAAATTTTGGATTCCTGGAAAGCTATACCAGACGGTCAGAGAATGCCAACCACACCAAAGGATGTGTTTCCCTATCTTTTGAATAAGCTAAAAAATTTAAAGACAGGTTTTTTGAGAACCGGCATGTTTCCCCTTTGTGCAACTAAAGTGTTAGACCAATTACCAGGTTATACTTGTCCTGCCGTCGACAAGAATACTCCCGTGCATGTTTCGGATGCCTTTAAACAATATATGGAAATAAAAGAAAAAGCCGCTGACGAAGCTGGAGAAAAAAAGAAAGAAACAACTTGATGTAGTAGCAGGAAAAAACATTTCTGCTGATGAAGTAAAGACCTTACTTTTGCTTAGTGGTAGTAGATAGCCCAATCAGAGACGAAGAGGAAATAGAGAATATGCTTTTACCTTCTGGCGACGTCATCAAGAAAACGAGGACCGATAATACACAGTTCAAGCAGCGATGAAGAGGAAGTTAGTACTAAGTTTTCTTTGGCTTCTAGTTCTTCACGGAAGAAGAAAAATCTGAAAATACTACAGGCGCAAACATCATAAGCTTCGAGAGTTCTCTACCCGAAAAAGATGATTTTGTTTCAGTTGAGTACGATGGTGATTACTGGCCGGGCAGGTGGTTACAAGTAGAAAGTGAGGGAGCTTTTATAAAATGCATGGCAAAATGTGGAGAAAACTGTGGAGATGGCCAGAAAAAGGAGGACTGCATATTTTATGCCAAAAAACGAAATTAAGCTTTCCGTAAATGCCTCCAAACCAAGTTTCAACAAAACGTCATCCTTTCAGTGTCCCTGCTCTGAGCTTGCTTAATTAGGCAGAACAGTTTTCGTTTTGTTTATTTTAATTTTTTAACTTACTTTTCACTTCGATAAGCTGTGCTACAAAAGCATAATTAGTATTAATCTTACATTTGTATTATTTTATTACCATAGGAGTTGCACCTATTGAGAGACTATTTTTATATAAATATGAAAATATAAATGAGTTTTGAAGTTTTTGTGAGTCAAATATTTTTTTTCAAGTATAATTTTCATTTCTTGACACTATTGTTAGGTAATATGCTTCCAACAATAGTTATCTATCGACTTATTGCAATAAAATCCTTATGGATCATAGATGTGTACAAAGTCCACAACTATGGTCCAACATTAACAAAAGAATTGTTAAACAAACTATATTTTGAAAAAAAAAACAAAACATATCAACGAACTTCTTAAAACCTTTTAAGTCTTGCTACTCCATAAGAATGTAAGTCAGGTTGTAAGTATCACGTGTATTCCAAAAAATCACTAAAAATTGGACCATTCCTGTGTGAAATTAGGGTACTTTTATTGCGCATCTATATTGTATTTTTCCTGACACAGTTTACTTCATCTATCCACTCTTGTGATGAAAATTGACTTTTATTTGGATCAAAGCAACTCAAAGCAAATGTAAATGGTTCGCTTACCTCGGATTTTACTATGGTTGGTACTGTACGGAGAGTACTTACAGTAGATGTGTCTCCTTGGATGGACTAGGGGGGCTTTCAAAATAATGTCTGTTCAGCAACACCGATCACAATGAATCGCTGCCATTTTGTTCTTCACTTCCAGTTAACGCTACACTAGACCCAGCAACTCTCGCACTATTTTCAGTTTCCGGCATTTTTCAGCGAAAACTAAACTCTTTCAATAATTGTCCATCCACAACAGTGTTTTCTTTTTGTATTTATCGTCGGTAAAACCAATCCAAAATAAGAACAATGTCACAGTCTTTGGCACGCACGATATCACCCACTCCTGATGTTAGCTTGATGTCGAGATTAAACTAATTTTGACTACTTTTATTGCATACAAACAATTCAGATCGGATGACCGACCGCTGCAAAAACCAAAACAAAACTGGTTCAGGCGTCCAATGGTTTCATCAAACACCACTAATATAAGCGCGAGCAGACTGGATCCGATACATTTATCAGGTGAGACAAAATATTATACTAAGTGACATATAAATCCGAACACCCAGTTTAAATGGTTTTATTTAATAAAATTTTGTATACGTACTTAATGAAGGATAATAAGTAAATGATAAAAATTTCAAAATGATTGCACTGCTTGAAAGCCCTTGACCTTTAATAATGTGTGGATGCACCCTGATGTGCTACGCATTCTCCAACGCGCCTAGGCATGCTTTTGATCAGGTGGTCAATGTCCTCCTGTGGTATCTCATTCCAGGCAACCACCAACTCCTCTCGAAGTGCTTCTAGGAGTCTGAGGAGGACGTGCAAATTGAGCAATCTCCTACCCATCATATCCCACACGCGCTCAATTGGGGATAAGTCGGGAGATCTTGGTGGCATGGTAACAATGTGACATCATTATGTTGAAAGAAGTCTATTGTGACTCTTGCAACATGTGGTCGGGCATTATCTTGTTGGAAAGCTGGATCTGCCAGGGTGTCAAGATAGGGTAAAAGATGGGGTTCTAGAACTTCGTGGATATAATGCTGCACGTTCATGTTACCTCTGATGAAGATTAAAGGTGACCTGGAAGCATAAGCTATAGCACCCCAAACCATAACTCCAACAGTGTGATGAACATGTCTTTCAACCCAAAACTGTGGATTCCTCCTTTCACCACGTCGCCTTCTAACCCTGGCACGACCATCGTGCATGGCCAAACAAAATCGAGGACACGTCACTAAAGACAATTACTGTTCCATTCCTGATCCCAGAGTGACCGTTGTCTGCATCACTCCTGGCGATTACGTCGGTGTTCTCGAGTTAAAGGGAGGACCCAGTGTGCCGGGTATGAAAACAGCCAAAACATCTCATTCGTCGGTAAACACTTCGCACGCCAATAGGTCTTCGTGATGTGCAAACCATTCATTTGCAATGGACCTGGTAGTGGAGAAAACGGTCCCTTAAGGCCAATAATCTTAGGCGGCGATCTTCACGGTCTGTTGTTCTACGGCGGCGTCCAGTGCCCCTTGCTCTTTGCGTACGGCCTTCTCGAAGCCATGCCTGACAACACATAACCACAGTGTCTACACTTCTTTGCACTCTAACTGCAATTGCCCGAAAAGAAAGTCCAACTTCCCGAAGTCCTACTATACGGCCACTATCAAACTCACTAAGTTGACGAAATCGTACAGGTCTCCGTACTCTAGGCATCGTAACCGATCGTAAAGGATGTCAAGAACCAAAATCCGCCAACGTTGATTCTTTACTGCGGCTGAAATATTCATTTTTAGAGCGTTAGTGAATTAAAAAAAAGCAGTATAAAAACCGGAATGTCCAACTGATAAGGCTGAAAATTTTTTCACTTGTTTTTACAGTAAGATAAATACATTCACCAAATTTTATTAAAGTAAAACCATTTAAACTGGGTGTTCGGATTTATATGTCACTTAGTATAAATAATTACTGGACATTCCTAACATGCATAAGAGGTTGAACATATTTGCTCTCTGTGCAGCAAAACGACACGTATAGCTGAGATTATATGCTTGAAACACAGTCGTTTTAAATCTAATTGAGTCGTAAAAAAATCTCTAATTGAGGAAAAAATCAATCACCTTTCTCGCAACTTTTTGTTATTAATGAGGCGTTTCGAAAATTGATTATCATCGGGAATTAAGTTGGCGCTGGAATATTAAAGAGAAACGCGCCACGTTCAGAGGTCTTAATTTGATTACATTAAATTGACTAGCCGTGTGTTACAAATAACTTCTCTACTCCACTTAGGCGCTACATAACAAGATTTCACGTTTTCGCTTAGTCATTCCATCGGCAGATGTGCCCATATTTAATATGCCTATTCCAGCCAAAAAAAGTTAATGTTAGAAATAGGTATTATTTAATATGCATCCACTGAATATTGGAATATACTTGGTCACGTTAGGTGCTATACAGGGTGTTTCACAAGTCGTGACCAAAAATGAAACATCATATTCAGGAGCGCATTATAAGAGGGGTCTTCTACGTAAAATTTCCTCCTCCAGCGCTTCATTAAAAAGATACGGGGTGTTGAAGTTTAAAAATGAAAAGCATTTTTATAATATATATATAAAACCCTCAACTGAAATGAACTAAAATTTGGTATTTGTTTTTAGCTAGGTACTGTCCACATTCAAATGTCTTAACCAAAAATAAACGTATACCAGTGACGGAGATCAGAAGCATTATTTCTTCCAAATAAAAATACTACGTGTTTTTTCCTAGACTGCATTGTATTTGTAAAAATAAAATAAAGACAAACTAGATAAACAAATATTTATTTCAATACATGTTGAAAAAGACCAACATTCTGAACCAGTGATATACTTCAGTTGTCTGCATTTTGAAGCAGAAAATGCATATACAATGTATACAACGGTATAGAAAATATACAGGGTGGCGCATCGAAAACGAAACAGACGCATTTACTGGCAGCTCATTTTTTTTTTGGGAAAACGCTCAGACCCGTCGATTTTGTCGATTTGAGGGGGACACAAGCTTGGGAAAAAATCACGTTAACACGTGCAGCTCCCTGGGCGGGGGTGACGGCAACCCTAAAATCTTAATGGAAAGGGGGGTCAAGTGATACCTTATTTTAAAGATATTTCAATTCCCTTTGTAATGATGTAAAATACATGAGCTTCAATTCACTAGCTTTGAAGATTTGTTGATTTAAAGCTTAAAGTAGACTTTAATAGGTACATCAGATTAGTTTGTACTACTTTCAGAAGAAATTTGACTAAAAGAATTTACTTAATAAGTACGCCCATGATTTGTTTATCATTTTGCTGTTGAAAATAGCTATTGGAGGGTTTTTTGTGGCCAAAAAGTTATTTCTCGAAGAAAGATAAGGAAATATCTCGTACTTATTTTAAATAGGAATTTAGTACATAGTTTGCGATTGATTTGACCAACCTTTGTTCCTAAAATAACTTGTAACGCTTTATTACATAAATTAACCATGGTATATTCCACAGCAGAAAGAGTTGAAATTATCGAAATATTTTTCGGCAATAATCAGTGCGCTAATAGAACAGCAGAAATATTTAATGAGCGACATGAGAACAGTAAGGTGCATCGAAAATATGTTCTAGAACTTGTAGCTAACTTTAGGGAAACTGGGTCAGTCGCCAATACAAAACGCAACATTGAAAATCCCATAAGGAACGAAGCAATAGCAGTGGGGGTTTAAGGCAAGTTTATTTAGATCCTACGTTAAGTATCCGCAAATTGGAGACTGCGTGTGGTGTTAGTCGTCGTCGTGTCCAACAGATTCTAAAGGCCCGTAGTTTTCATCCGTATAAAATTCACCTGGTACAAGAATTTACTGAAGACGATTTTGATCGGCGATTAAAATTTTGTGAAGATATGAGTGAACGAATTATAAACGATGAACATTTTCTATTCAACACTTGCTTTTCGGACGAATGTTCCTTTATCTTAAATGGCGTAGTAAATCGTCGTAACTGTCAATATTGGTCCGATTCTAATCACAGAATTTATCATAAGGTTCATACACAGCAGCCATGCACCAATGTTTGGGCTGGTATTTTTGGCGGTCATTTAGTTGGTCCTTTTTTCTTACCTGGAAATTTGACCGGCGAAATGTATTCGGAATTACTGGAAGACACCATAGATCCTGCATTAACAGCCATAATTGAAAATCAGAATGATGGGCGGTACATTGCAAATAGGTTGACGTTCCAACAGGATGGTGCCCCACCACATTACGCATTACGTGTTCCACAATATTTA